TGAATCATGTCTGGTTAAGATAACTAAAGAGTTAGTACTATTTCTCATACCTTCTGATGAAGTTGAAGGGGGAAAGGATGTCGGAATTGTCTTGGGCTGCCCAACCGAGTGCTTTATGATAAGTGCTTGTCTTCTTCTCGGTAGCCATTGCAGATTGTAGTAATTCTCTTAATTCAAAAACTGCGATTATGGACGTATAAGGTTGGGTTAATTTTGATGTTTTAGTTCTGATCGATCGACATTTCTTGCCACCCTTCTATTCATAGTTCCCGCTAGCCTTCTGGTGACGTACTGCATTACATAAGCGGAGGAGATAATGAAAGGAGTAATGTATCTGAAGTACTACTGACGAATTGAATGACGTAAGCCAACTGCTCTTTGTTTCTGTTGAAGATTCTGATTTTCTATTTTGTTGAAGCAAAGTTGAATACTTTTTAGTCAACTTTTTAATTGATTACAATCAAATCCATTATATTTAAACCGATTCAAATTGCCTACGGTGTATCGTGTATGTTGTCCAAATCAATTTATTCATGTTGTAAAGCTAACACATAGGCAAGAATCCATGTCTCAATATTTTTTTGCTCTACAGCAGTAGAGGACCTGGTAATTAGTACCTCCGCCACTACATTGTAATGTCATGGGATGCAAGTGGCCATACAAAACCAAAAGACACTCTAACAGGCCTATTGCTATATATAGAGTCAGATTGATCACTCAAGGATTTAAACAAGAGCATGGTATTAAATATCTTGAAACTTTTAAACTGGTTGCCAAAATGCCTACCATTACATTTCTTCTCACAGCTGCAATATATAATCATTAGGGCTGCAATATATAATCATTAGGACATTTTTCAAGTTGGATGTGTCTAACACTTTTCTAAAAGGAATCTAAAAGAAATTATTCATGTCTTAACCACCGGGGTTTCAGGAAGAACAAAATCCTCAATATGTTCGAGGAAAATCATATATGGATCAAAGCAAGCCCCAAGTCAGTGGCGTTCAACTTTCTCCACCTTCCTCACTAAGCAATGATTCTCTTTTATTCAAGCAGTCTCTGTTGGGTACTGTGGAGACCCGGTCCTATACTTAATTAGCCTCCTAATTAAGAATCTCACATATCGCTCACATACTTTCCGACCTACCGCTCATATACCACTTCCCACCTACCGCTCTCATGATTTCTATAAAGAGTCTCTTTTGGTTTAAAGGAGAAGCCAAGCCATGTCATCTTGAGAGCTAAGAGAAGAGAGGAAGAGAGAGAGAGAGAGGAATGAGAAAAGAAAATAGAGATTTTCTTGTAAACGTCAAGACGCTCGACGGTGTAATTCCTCGAAGAAATAAAATCCGAAGAAATAAAAAATAAAATCCTCTGCAGCTCCATGGACGTAGATAAATTTGCCGAACCATGTAAATATGTGTGTTCCGCTGTGGTGTAACTATTTTATGGTATGAATTTTCCTCGTTCCAATTTTTTGCCTTATTGTTGTAGTTTTTCACAACAGTTGGTATAAGAGTTTGCGTTCGAATCTAAAAAAGAACGATGGGCGGAGACGAAGTGATGATATCGGTGATCGAGAAGTTCAATTACAATAATTTTGCTTACTAGAGGATGCAGATAGAGAACTGCCTAATTGGAAAGAAACTTCATCTTTCGTTACTGGGAAAGCGACCAGTAAAGATAGACAAGGCGGAATGGAATCTGTTGGATCGACAAGTTTTGGGGGTTATATGATTAATCATGTCGAGATCGGTTGCTCACAACATCATCAAAGAGAGGACTACTGCAGATCTCATGACGGTTTTATCAGATATGTATGAAAAACCATCGGCGAATAACAAGGTGCATTTGATGAAAAAGTTATTCAACTTGAAGATGGCGTAAGGTGTGTCTGTTGTTCAATACCTAAATGATTTCAACACTATCTCAAATCAGTTGTCGTCTGTTGAAATTGATTTTGATAATGAGATACATGCGCTGATATTGTTGGCTTCATTGACAAATATCTGGGAAGCCATGAGGATGACAGTTAGTAGTTCTGCAGGTAAATCTAAGTTGAAATATGATGATATTCGTGATTTGATTTTGGCTGAGGAGGTTCGCAGGATGGATTCTGGCGAGACCTCGTGTTCAAGTTCGACGCTGAATGTTGATTCCAAAGGGAGATCACATGACAGAAACTCAAATAGAGGAAGATCAAAATCAAAATCTAGTCAGCAGATAATCTGCTGAAATTATGGCAAGGCTTGCCACATAAAAAGGAACTGCAAGAATCCTAAGAAGAAAGAGAATGATGACGCTAATGTTGTAACTGAAGAAATACATGATGCACTATTTATGGCAGTTTACAGTTCTATTGATGACTGGATACTGGATTCAGGGGCTTCCTTCCATACATCTCCCCTTCGGGAGTTAATGTGAAATTATGCTGCAGGTTACTTTGAGAATGTATATCTGGCTTATGGAAAAGCTCTGAACATGATAGAGATGGGAGACATTGATATTACACTCTCTAACAAGAGCAAATGGTCAGACACGTTTCTGAGTTGAAGAAAAACCTCATCTCTGTTGGGCAATTCAATGAGGGTGATCATTCGGTTGTGTTCTCAGGAACCTGGAAGGTTACCAAAGGAGCATTAGTACTGGCTCCTGATTACTGGCTCGTGATAAGAAAACTAACACACTATATATGACTATAGGTTTACTCAGTCGTTGACACATGAGTCAGAAGTGCATTATGAAGAAGCAGAAGAAGATCAATTTCCAGAAAAGAAATAGAGCGCCAAAGGCAGGAAAACCAGACCTTGTACAGATAAATGGTGGAGAACCACAGAGTTTTGAAGAAATCTTGCAAGATGAGAATTCGAACAAGTGGGAGCTGACCAAGAAGGAGGAGATGGATTCCCTGTCAGGGAATTAGACTTGCGAGTTGACAGAACTTCCACCAAGGAAGAAGGCATTGCACAACAAGTTGGTATACCTAGTGAAGACTGTGTTTGATAGTAGTAAGAGGTACAAGACTGAACTTGTTGAAAAGAGCTTTCAGCAGGGACAAGATATTGCTCATGTAGTGAGAGCTATAAGCAGATACAAGAGTAACCCAGGAAAGAGCTTGGTGGTACAAGGCTGCATTTACGGTGATATGTCAATTGAGGGTGTTACTCGTAAGAAGTTAAAGTTGTGCTCAACTTCGGCTGGTCTTTTGGCATGAAGACGGGGGCTTCGAGTTACAGAGGTGGAAGATATCATGCTTGAGGAAAAGGTCGGTACAACTAGTAGATGATGCAGTCAGTGTCTCAGTCTCAAAGTGGGAAAATTGTTGAGTAATGTGGAGACCCGATCCACCGAAATTTAATTAGCTTCCTAATTAAGAATCTCACATACCGCTCACCTACCACATCTCACCTACCGCTCTCATGGTTTCTTCATGATTTCTATAAATAGCCTCTTTTAGCTTAAAGGAGAATTATAATATATTTATTTAAGCCTAAAGCAATGCGTCACGAGATATGGTACATTAAAGCGCATAAGAAGAGAGTGAGAGAGAAGAAGGGAGAGAAGAAAATATAGATTTTCTTGTAAACGTCAAGGCGTTCGACGGTATAATTCCTCGAAGAAATAAAATCCTCTGCATCTCTGTGGTTGTAGGCAAATTTGTCGAATCACGTAAATCTGTGTGTTCCGCTATGGTGTTACTGTTTTCTAATATGAATTTTTCTCGTTCCAATTTTTTGCTTTATTATCGACATTTTTCACAACAGTCTCGTCTCTTCTTATATATAAAAAAGATGAGTGCCTCATTTACTCTCTTATTTATATAGATGACGTTTTAATTACAGGAAACAACCGTCAATTCATTCAAGAACTCTTCAGAACTCTTCACGACGGATTTCAAATTAAATATATTATCATTTACAACTTGAATGATTTTCCTAACTCCTACAATTCCTTAAAGATTGCAATTGGAAGAATTTAACAACTATTTTCTATGACAATACTTCTACTATTACATTGGCTAACAATTCTATCTTCTACGCCTACACCAAGCATATTTAGGCCGATTATCATTTCATTTACAATCAAATAGCTTCCAGAATTATTTCCATTCAACACATAACTACCCAAGATCAAATTGCAGATATCTTTACTAGAGCTTTATCTGCCAACTCCTTTTTCAAACTCAGAAGCAAGCTTAACATCTGACAAATATATACTATTGTCTCTAGTGTTTATCTATATATAGGTGCTACTGTAACCATTATCATTTGAATAAAATATTATTCTAGCATTTTCCCCATCCCTCTTTCAACACAACAAATAACTCATTTATAAGATCAATAAAACTAATTGATCAGATCATAAATAGCTCAACTATACCACTTATTATTTAGTTTGAGAAGTCTTATTTAGTTAAAAATAAATAACCCAACAACACTGATTTTAATTTGCTAAAAAAATATTATTTATATAAAAATTAAATAACTCGATAATTTCCTCATTAATCTGCTCCATGATGACTATACTAGATTATCATGATATGAAACGAATAAGAACCAAACTCAAAAATGAAATAAATGATAACATAAACACAAAAATCAACTAGAGCTCTACCTTAAATTTTATAAATAAGCTCACACTAAAACATAACCCCAAAATCTCCATTTGAGCTCAAGCTTGAACTTGTAACAAAAACGCAAGCTTGAACTCAGTTCTTTTGCAGCCCAAGAAAACAAGCAAATAGAACAATTAATTTAAGGAATATTTACATCCATACCAACCAAATCTCATATATTTATGTAATCCAACACCTAAATATTCAAATTAAAATGCATGCCGATCGAATCTTTAACATCACATCAAAAATACCACATCACAATTTTTTCAAAAGTGAAATACATCTAAAATTTTGCAAGCATAATGTCAAACTATGGCTGTTACACATGTGAAGACTCTTATTATGTGGTATGGTATGTATGCAAACTTTCCTTAAATTTTAAATGTCATGAGTTTGTGGAGATTAAAAAGAAGAAGAAAAAAACAGCCTACTAAAAACAGAATGAAAAAGCCAGCCCAGAGTCTGTACATCACCAAGTTATAAATATAACTTATTGAAATAAATCAACAATCTCTCACAATATACATTTCATGAAACACCACAAAAACCTACGCTGGCAAGACCTCTCCTGCAAGCGAGGGAGAATCATCATCGTCCACCTCCGTCTCCCTCTTCTCAGATTTCGAGCCCTGCTGCTCCTTCTCTCCGAACCCGAACTTAAACCGATCGTAATTGGTGGGCTCGCTGGCTTTGAAGGGCCGCTCGCCGAGGACGCTGAGGAGGTCTTCCTGGTGGAGGACCTCCTTCTCCAGCAGGAGCTCGGCGATTTGGGCGATCTGATCCTTGTGTTCTTTTACGAGTTGCAGCGTTCTTTCGTAGGCATTGGAGACGCGCTCTCTGACCTCATTGTCGATGATGGCTGCGGTTTCATTGCTGTACGGTTTGTTCATCTCGAAGGAATCTTCCCTTGGAGGGAAAAGAAGACCCACCTTCTCGCTGAAGCCGTATACTGCAACCTGCGCGTAGGTCATTTTGGTGACTTTCTCCAGGTCGTTCTGAGCACCGGTGGAGATCTTCCCTAACAGAACCTTCACAAAAAAAAAAAATCATTTTTTTAGTAAATAAATAAAAATTCAGCTATGAGGATTTAGAACTTTTTCCAAGCATGCACCATCCCATCCAACATGAGAGATGAATTCCAACGGTTATTTATGAAAAAAAGGGGGCATTTACATGCATACCACATAATTCTTATGTATTTATATATATGTAACACCTAAACTATGCAGTTTTACATTTATACCACTGAAACCATTCATATCACATCAAAAATACAACCTTCTAGTGTTAAAAATAAAATAAACCATTTCATGCATGCATAGACAAGATTGTATGTAGGTAAAAATTGAATTTTAGGCGTTAGATGGGTATGTACATAAGAATTGAGTGGTATGTATGTAAAGCTTCCAAAAATAAAAAATAAAAAAAATCAACATGCCTCCTATGCAATTCTTTTGATAGGTGACAATGACATGTATTATGATGTCTAAAGCATAAATAAGACTATATCCTCGCTTCATGGGATGAAGCTTTCCTTGTTTGTGATTTTAATGTGGCACTCTGTTTGTACGGTACATTAACTATTTAAAAAAACTATAAATAAAAATTAATAATAAATGTGGCATTTGCATACATACGACGTGATTCCTATGTATTTACATATCAAATATCCGAATTTTATTTTTATATTTATACCACCCAAATGTTTCATATCGCATAAAAAAATCACTTTTTTGAGATTTAAAAAACAAAATATACACTTTCATGCAGAGGTAAGATGGCATTTGTGCATAAATTGGAGTTTAGGTGTTAGGTATGTAAATACATAAGATTTGAGTGGTATATATTTAAATCTTCCATAATAAATTTAGCCTGCCTTGAACATACAGCATTTAGGACAAACAACAGAGATATACCATGAAGGCATGAAGCTTGACATTAAAGTTTTCAATAACCATATAATGATAACAATAATAGAAACTTGGGGCATTTACATAACACTTAATTCTTATGAATTTAGGTATTTCACACCAAAACTTCTTATCTTATTTACAAACAGAGCATTAAATTCTTTAGTATCACATCAAAAATAATATTAATTACCCATTTTAATAGTCAAATTCACCTTTTCACGCATAAGTAAATTGTGTAAATATGAAAGTTCAGGTGTGAAATACGTAAATTCATAAGAATTGCATGCTATGCGTGTAAATTTCCCTAGAAATGCTTATGTTCAGCTTATTTTAACTAGAATTAATTACATAACTAAATAAAAGAATATTATTAAAATGTTATTATATTAATTATTTAATGTTGCATTCAAAAAATATTAAATTTTAATATTTTTTAAATCATTTGAGCTAATTCAAGTTGAACACGAGCTAAAACAAACAACCTACTTTGAATTGAGCTAAACACGAAAATACTATCCACAAGTCTATTTCAAACCAAAAAAAAAAAATAAAAGATGCAACGTCTCGAAATATAAAGCATCACATCTACTAAAAATTAGACTTATTCATAAGAAAAATAGAAAAAGGATTACTGCTTACCTCTTCGGCAGCACGGCCACCTAATGTCATGCATGTCATGTCAAAAAGTTGCTCTTTGGTCATAAGAAGGTTTTCATTAGGCACATACTGCGCAAATCCTAGAGCCGCAGTTCCTCTGGGAACAATTGTGACCTTGAGAAGCGGCTCGGCATGCTCCAAAAACCATCCAGCAACAGCATGGCCCGACTCGTGATAAGCAACGGTTCGCCTCTCCTGCTTGCTAATTACCTGATAATAGTGATGATATTAGTATCAAAAAACAGGCCGTGCATAATCCTCACAGAGATTATAATTGATGCATACTCATGACCAACACAAAAACCATAACTATTAGGGGCATTTATATACATATCACACAATTCTTATGTATTTACATATCTAATATCTAAATCTTTGTGTTTACATGCATACCACTCAAACTTTTAGCATCACATAAAAAATATCATTATTGCTGTCTTTTTAAAAGTGAAATACATATTTTCATGCATATGCTTATGACATTAAGGTGTTAAATGTGTAAAAATTAAACATTGGGTGTTATATATGTAAATACATAAGAATTGTGTGGTGTGTGTATGCAAATTTACGGAGCCATAATTTGGTTTAATTTTCATTGCTTTAACAAAATAGATATATCAAGACTGCAGATAAAAAAAACATGAAACTAATGAAAAAATAAGAAAATACTGCCAAATTGGTCCTGACTATTTGCAGGAAGTCATTTTAATCCCAGAGTTTATAAAAATATTAATTTGATCACATATTAAAAGAGTCTAGAGACTAATTTGACATTTTTTATAGACTTCGAGACTAAATGACTCCATGTAAATAATAAGAGGACTATTTTGACAATTTACCCAAATAAAAAGAGGTAAATGGCTTTCTATGTGTAAAAGCTACTAACCTTGTTCTTCTTCTCCAAACCACCAATCACCCTATCTATGGCCGCTTCGAAATGCTGCACCGTAACCGTCAAATCTTCATTTCTAGCTGCAATTAGCGCAGCTTCATTACAAACATTTGCAATGTCCGCACCAGCAAATCCAGGAGTCAGGGCGGCAAGCCTTTCGGAGTAAAATGATGGATCATTGTCAAGCTTGATCTTCTTCAGATAAATACGAAAAATTTGTTCGCGGCCTCTTATATCAGGTTTATCAAGCGAAATCTGCCGATCAAACCTACCGGGTCTAAGTAAAGCCTTGTCCAAAATGTCGGGTCTATTGGTTCCTGCAAGAACAACGACACCTGATGTCGTCCCAAATCCATCCATCTCAACCAGCAACTGGTTCAGGGTGCTTTCGCGTTCATCATTGGAACCAGAAAACCCGCCACGACCTCGTGCACGACCTATCGCGTCAATCTCGTCAATAAAAATTATACTTGGAGCACACTGTCTGGCTTCTTGAAACAAGCTCCGGACCCTCGAAGGCCCGACGCCAACAAACATCTCCATAAAATCTGATCCTGCTATCGATAGAAAGGGTACGCCAGATTCACCTGCCGTTGCTTTCGCCAGAAGAGTCTTGCCCGTTCCTGGAGGACCTACAAGAAGTGCGCCTTTGGGAATTTTAGCACCCAACTCTTCATACTTCTTGGGGTTTTTTAGAAAATGAACAAACTCCATGATTTCTTCTTTAGCCTCATCACATCCAGCCACATCTTTGAAATATACCTGAAACAAGTGAACTCAGAAATCAAGACATAGTTGCTTTCTTTCAGCCGAGCCAACAGGATAACCAATAACAAATACGAAAAATTAATCTTCATTCAAATGGAAGTATGGGTGAGAAAAGTGCTGAATCATTTTAGTCCCAGAGTTTATAAAATGTCAATTTAGTCCCGGGTTATTCTAACATGTTAAAATAGTTCCTAATGAGAACTATTTATAAACTCTGAGATTAAAATAATCTCATGTAAATAGTCAGGGGGCTATTTAGACACTTTTAATTCTATCAACCTTCCATGACAAAACTAAGATTGAAAAGAGATCAACAAACCTTATTTTTAGAATTCTTATCCATCTTGGTCACCTGAGCTTTTCCAATATTAAAAATACCACGATTTCCTCGCCCTGTACCGCCACCAATGCTGAGTCCACCTTGCATTCTTCGCCCGAGTAGGTAGATGAGACCAACGAGAAAAGCTGTGGGAGCAAACCTCATCACCTCTTGAAACCAATTAATTTCAGAAACGTATGTTACGGGAACATAGTCATGAGGATCTACCCCTAAAGCTTCCTGAGCTTCCTCCAACTTCTCCTCAAATGATTCTACACTTCCGATATTAAAGTAAAACTTATATTGGCTAGTGCCGCGCCTCGGTACCTCTGTCGTGGTGCCTTGAAATTCCTCGTCTCTTGTTTGCTGCATGCTGCCCTGCGGCGAGTTCTTAACATAAACTTTCGCAACGGATTTATTTGACACGACAATATGATCGACTAAACCGGGCTCCAACAATTTGTTCTTGAACTCTTGAAAGCTAATCTGCTAAAAAGAGGTATGAAATTGAACTACAAAGAAAATGCAATTCAAACATAATTGAAATTGTTATACAGTATGCAATTATTATAGTAAAAGCTGCAAAATCAATATTGTGGTATTATCAAAAACAATCCCTCTGAAGTTAAAATCAATACGACAAGCAAGACTATTGAAAAAAAAATTCAAATATGAATAAGTGAAAAGAGATAAAATCACAGAGAAAAATCAAAGCTCAAGATTTTGATTTCGTTATTTTTAAAATAGTAAATGAGTTCTGACCTCTCTTTGCTCATGTGAGCCAAAAGACAATGATGAAAACAATAATCCGATAAATATCAGTGGAGTTGCATAATTCTGCAACTGCTTTAAGAAATTTTCTTGAAAATTTCCTTGGTCATCAGCGTTTGAGTCCTCTGAAAAAAAAAAATAAAAAACAAAAACATCAGCTTTATTTATGGCATAAAATGGCATTTATCAATATTCACAGAGGTGGTCATAGACCAAATTGTATGATGTAAAAATCACGTGGAATACTCCGTGCAAATTCTGGAAAAGGAACTGTTTTTATAACTTTTTTTTTTCCTTTTTTCCCATCAGATTGTTGCAGTTTTCTCATCACTTGATGTTTTTATAACATGCTTAGACTAAGTTAAAGCTAGAAGGTTGTTCAGATTTGATACAACTAAGATTTCAGTTACGGCAAATAAATTATACTTGCTCCCCAATTTAGTGCAATTTGAATTGTCTGTTGATTTTTTAAAGTTATTTGATCATTGCATTATCGGTTGGATTCTCATTCTCATATTTATTGATTTAAATCTAAGGAAAGCAAGCTTTTATATATTTAGCGGTCTGTGAGCTGTGAATTTTAAGTTTCCTTACATAATCTGCATATATCGCATTATTTTAACAGCATTAGAAAACCCTAACACAAAGCTGATTTGCATCAAATTGTGTAAAAAAAACACTCAAATGTGAGGCTTGATTATCATGGCAATTCAACAGATCATTAAAATAATAAGTATTTGACTACTTAGCAGAATAGTAGGTTAAATTGCTGAATGAATAAAATCAACTATGCAAATACATAAACTAGCTAAAGTACGAATTAACACTTCAGAAACTACTAAAAGTAATGTACATGAATCTGCAGTAGACTCTAATTGTCATGATGAACTCATTCAAGTGAATTTTACTTTTAATAGGAGAAAAGGAAATTAGCATGACACACAATTTAGGATGTGTAGCCAAGAGGTTTATGAAACTCATGAGCATCAAAGTTTTGATAAGATGATGATATAACAAAGAAAATCAGTTAAAGTGTCTAAATATAATAATAATATTAATTTCAAACTTTTTTCTATTTAAATATTGGATTTAAATAACTTCTTTGAATGAAAAACTAACCCGTGTCAAATAAATGACACTAAGATTCACAAAAATAAAATTAATCGGGCAAGCTAAAGTTTATTGGATGAATATGGAGAGACAAAAGGAAAGAATGGAAAGGGAACCTACCATTACTTAAATTAAAGAGCTTCTAAAATAAAAATACTTTGTCTTATTTTGACTCTTTTCTTGATGAATTTAATTCACTAAAACAAGGAGTCAAAACTATGAGTGAATAATTGAATAAATTCGGTGAATCATGCTTTATAAGTACCATTAGACTTTGAGCAAATATTACAATTTCTTGCACCTAAAAGAGTTATGACATATTAATTGAGTAAATCATTTTAACAAAATAATCAAGTTCAATATATTGCACCTATAAAATCTAAGGGTAATAACACTAAAGCTAAATCATTTGCAATCACAACTGAGTCTAATATTTTGGCCAAGGCATATTTTAAGTGTCACCAAAATTGGTCATTATGTCAATGAGCATCCCAATAAGAACTTCATATAAATTTAGAAGAGAAAGATAATGAAATCAATGATTATAATGATGTTCATAAATTTTACAAGGCAATCAGTGATTCTAAGGATACCTTAACCGATAATTCTTTTTATAACAAATGTTTCATCACATCTACTTCTACAATGGAATCTAATTGGAAGAGTACAATAATTTTTTAAATATGAGTAAAAACTTTGCAAACATATAACTGAGAGGGATTTGCATGAATGATAAGTAAAAGTCCACCCTAGGCCACATGAATTTGAAACATTAACCACATCCACAATTGTTGACCCTCACATATACTCCCCAAAATGACTTGATTAAATGACTTGATTAAACATGACGAGAGCAGCAAAAAAAGAATGTGGCACGGCCCGATCAAATTTGGAATGTCCCAAGCATGCTTTAAATTCACCTCAAATAATATCCGTTTGCAAAACATAACCCGCAGTTACATGAAAACATCAAAATTAACCATAGAGTTTTTCATGATCGAAAGGAGCGAGCCTTGAAATTCACCTCAAATAATATCCGTTTGCAAAACATACTTCGCAATTACATTGAAAACATCAAAATTAACCATGGAGTTTTTTATGATCGAAAGGAGCGAGCATAGCATGAACGACATTCTAACAGCGAGATGCGTAATTCAGATTCCAATCACCTCAACCGTTGTTGAAATCACCCAAACGGTCGCTTATCGCAAAACAGACCGCATGATGGCGTTCGGAATGTCGATTTTACCAACGGGTGACACCCATATTGACAGGATCTAATACACAAATGATCGTCATGTAAATCAAGGCACTTGCTTAACCGTCGACAAAGTCACCCAAATGATCTCTGATTGCAAAATGAGTTGTGCGAGCGAGTCAGGAACATCAAATTTACTAAGGAATTACACTATATATATATATATATATATATATATGTGTGTGTGGAACCCTTATCTCCTTCTCGCTCAAGTCAACCTTCTCCTGGTTTCTATGCCATGCTGCCCCATACCTCCAAAGTTAGCATCAACCAATTAGAGTGAACCATACAATTATAATAATATAAATATGTATAATAATAATACTAAAATAATATAAAAAGTCCTAAAAACTACCCATTTTCTTCAGCGCAGCAGGCACAAGCATCTCCCTCTCGATCTATAGGCTGAAGGAGAAAGTCGCAGGCCCTAATCCTACTTCATCTCCTCAGCTTCGGCTCAATTCCATCTCGTCTCGTCTCCGTCGCCGACAACAACCCGGTGGCCAACCTGTCATGCCCTTGTCATCGGCAGCCTTTCATGTCCATTCCTTCACGGAGCCTTCCCATTGTTTCCCTCACCATTCTCATCCTAGCTCAATCTCCTCCCAGCCATCTCTCTCTCGAAAACAGGGAAGGATCACCTCCCACAAAAAAGAAAGAAAATATCTATATCATTTCTCCACATTCCCTCTCAATGTTCTCCTCAAATCCTCCCTCACGGATAACTCACAATGGAGCTCACCACTTCCAGCTGCCTCACCTCACAGCTAAGCAACTTCCTCTTTCCC